GAGTGCCTGCGCCTCAGGGGACTGGCTGCGGCAGTGGCCTTCTGGGGACTCTGTCCTGGGTGATGTGTGAGCTGAGCCCCAGGGAGAGGGGCTCTGCTCCAGCCCTCCCGGAGCAGTGGGTCCCGCGGGGAGGAGAGCAGACACTCACCTTTGGGAGCCATGGGGCCAGGCTCGCCCTGCAAGGAAGGTGACAGAGCGTTGACCGGGGCAGCAGCAGAATCCGTGCCCTTTCTCCACCCCACAGCCAAGACAGGGATAGGGAAATGGCCACGTTTCCCCAGGAAGCTGAGGGAGTCAGGCTTGCTCTGCCTGCCCTCTGCCTCGGGGACTCGCCCGTCAGCCCCTGCTCCTTCTGCAAGGCCCCACCAGGGCGCCTCACATGGGGCATGGGAGGGAGGAACGGGGCTGCCCGACCCCCTGGTTCCTGCAGTCAGCCCCTCTGCTCCAGATTGCCCACCATCCTTCAGCCAGCTGGCCACCACACAGAGGGTCCTTGTCACCTCCATGTCCAGCAGTCACAGCAGTCTGGCAGAGAGGGAGACCCCCAGCAACACAAGCACAATGCTGGGGGGTCTCGGGAAGCAGAAATTGGGCTGGTGTCCCCACAGGGGAGTGGTCGGGGGACATCCAGCCCCAGGCAGCGACCCCAGAGTCCTACCTGGAACCATATGGTCCTGCCGCTGCGGTCACGCAGGGATCTCATGCCAGGCACCAAGTAACACCGCAGCCAGTTCTTGAAGGCAGAGTAGTTATCCGAGTGGTCTGGGTCAAAGAGCTTCTTCTCTGGGAAAGGAGAGGGGGAGAGGACGGAGGTAGATGGAGAAGCAGTGACCATGGCATTGGGGTGCCTGCTGCTAGGAACGCAGGAGAGGATGGTGCAAAGCCCAGGTTGCCCCTGTGAGCTGTCCCTGTCCCCCGGCTCCCTGTCCTGTCACCCACCCGCTGCGATGACCTCCATGGGCACCGTGTGGCACAGCTCCAGGAGATCCGGGTTCTCCCGCATCAGCTTCAGCTTCTTGCTCAGCGTCAGAGAAGGATTCTGCAGGGGTGGAGAACGGGAGGGAAGTCACCTGCCAGCCACCCCAGCCGCCTCAGGGGTCTCTCCTCTCCAACAGCAGCCAAATTCCCCAGCTCCTCGTGCCCTCCTGAGGATGAGCTGCCACACTTCCCACCACGTGCCAGCCCTGAGCTCACCCCATTGCAGGCTTCCCACTGCACATTAGCACCTTCCCTACGGCTGCAAGGACATGAAAAGAGGGCTAGCAACACCAGCAGGTTGCAAAAACAACCCTCAGGTCGTGGTTTGTTTTCAGGCTTCTTTAAAATAGCCACCTCCTCTCCCCCGAGGCCATGAGATCAGCTGATCTCAGCCTTAGGCTCTACTGCAGCCTTCCCCAGAGATTTTAAGCTTGCAAGGTGTTTGTTTCCCTTGCTCCTTCTTCTTCACCCACCCCAAATATATTCAGAGACTTCCTGATGGTAGAAGATGCACACCCGGGGAGCTGTCACACCTCATCAGCCCAGCCACGTGCGAACAAGCACTGGATGGATGAGGTTACAGAACTGCTGTGTCTCGTTTACTGCTCCGTTGGAGGGGCAGACGTGCTCAGACATGGGCGTTTATGGCCAAGGACAGAAACATGCTTGAGGAGAAAGATCCCACGTGGCAAGTGTTATGGTTGTGAAGGGAAAATGCCTCTGTCAGGTTGGGAAAGACTCAGAGCAGCAAATACCTCCTGACAGCGGCGTGGGCAGAGGCTGCGTGAGCTCTGCAAGGGCCTCGTGACAACGTTCTGCCCCATCGGAGCAAAGAACCAAACACGAACTGAAACTGGCTCCGAACCCTGGGCTGGAACAAGCCCGAAACAACAGACCTGAACCAGAGCTTTGCAGCCAAATAAGTGCAAAGCAGAGCCAGAGCAAGGCAGCCAGCTGAGCCCAGACCTGGGGCTGGAAGCAAACTAAGACATCTCCATCATTGCTGAATCAGAAATGCTTCTCAGCTCAGTCTGGCTCCCAGGACCCCAGGAAGCTGCTGAGAAGTCCCACAGGGCCACAGGCAAAGAAAGAGCCTGTCTGGAAACCTGCCCCTTTCTGAGCCTGTGAAAGCACCAGGTATTCCCCACCTTCTTCCTCCTCGCCTGCTCCTGATCCTTCAGGGCCTCCAGCACGGTCCGAGCCTTTTCAAAGGGAGGGATCTTCAACCTGAGAGAGTCCATCTGTTACCGACGAGCCTGAACTCTCAGTTCTGGCACCTGCCCGTGTCTACCAGGCGAGGAGGCCCAGATGACTTAGCTGAGGAGAAACTTGCAAAACTCTTGGAGACCAACCTTCCACGGCAGGTCAGTAGGTGCTCGACAGACTGTACCTGTAAAGGATCTCGGCACGGAGGTAATTCCCAATTCCATTGAAAAACTTCTGGTTTAAGAGAGTCTCGCAGATGGGTTTGTCAAAAGCCTTGTCGTCCAGGTTCCTCAGCACGTTCTCCCTGCAACGGAGCATCGGGAAGGTTCACGGCACAACAGGGTGAGGGGCCTTTGCTCAGGCTGTGGCTGGCAGGGTGGGGGGACGCTCACCTGAAGGCCTG